TGCGAAATCTGCGTCTTTTAGTCTCAAAACTACATGTTGTGGTCTTTCTTTTCCATATTGTGTTATGACGTTTTGTGAAAAGTCTGTACATGATGGAGAAAAATGGATATCATTTTCGGATTCAGTGTACAGGAATTACTGTAGAACAGGTAAAAATTTCAAGACAATAAAACTATCGCAGGCCTGGGTTATTTGTATAACAAAATTGTTTAGTTTCGTATTGCAGAGAAAAAACAATTATTAATCTACCAATCTTCAAATATCGGAAACAGATTATGATAATGGTTATTGTATACATGCACCCTTTAATCATTAACCACAGAGTTATCCTTTCAGAAACTGAATTTGAAACTTATGGAGTAACACCTAACAAAGAAAACTATGTTGCGGATTAATACTTAAATATGTGCTTTTATGGAACAACGCCTAACAAAGAACCGTAGCGTTGCCACAGAAAAAAAAAGTAGCGTAGAATGGCAGTTTTGTGTGAAAATATATAAAGAATAATGATTAAGCCTATGAAATGTAAAGTATTTCAATACTCATCGAAAAGCAGTACGACATCAAGACAGACGGTATTGTATCAAAACAACCTGCTACAGGACACACTGTGTGTTTTTAACAGGACTGATAGTTAAACGATTTTCCACTTTCTGTATCGCAGACTGTAGTAATCCAAACTATTACATATCTTCAGTGGATGTGCGCTACTGGACTCTTACTTCACATACCAAACTTCAAGGCAATTCATCAAGAAATACCTGAGATATAACATCTCCAATTTTGATTGAATGTTTTCTTTTTTATATATATATATATTTCGCACCAAAAATATGGGAACTTTATTCTATAGAAAAACATGCATAACTTTTATGGATTTTTTTTTTCAAATTTGGTTCACTGATAGATATTTTCAACCTACAATTAAGAGTCTCATTTGGTGTAAATATAATCCACATGTGCAAATTTATTCCACAAAAACCGCTAAAATTTTACGAAAATTTTTGTTCCCACCTACGCAAAAGTCACATGAGATATCGGTCTAACATTTTGATACAGCTTCACCTAAGAGTAAAAGTGAACCGATTTTAGTTCTTGTCATTCGGATTAAAGACGGCTGATTGAGAGCAGCAAAACTATAAGGTGAAAGAAAAGACATGCAGATACATAAGTATTGGTCAGGCCAAGCAAACTAAATTAGCAGTTTCTAACTTAAGTTTTTAAAATAATTATACGAGTGGACGGTTATTATTCATTACTCATTGCCAACTTTTTTTTACTAAATGTTCTGAAAATTTCGTAATTAAAAGAGTGTTTAGCGTCACGTGATATTAGCTTAAGCAATTAGCGTAAATAATGATGCATGATACGATTGTATCGAGTGCATGCTGGTGATGACAGGAAACTGTTAGTATAAATTCCATGGCATTACTATAAAGGAAGCTATTAACACTATTTTAGAGAGAAAAAACTACCACCATATATTTTAAAGAATCTGGTTGGTTCTGCAAAGTAAAGGTGTGTTCCGAATAATAGGGTTGCAATCCTAAACCTAATTAAGGTTACTATCGAGTGTCACTTTCTTACTTGCTGTGGTTTATTGGTGTGTATTGACAAAATGTCATG